CGGCAAGGGAGGCTGCTGCTGGCAGCAGGGCTGGGGTGGCAGTGCCGGCACCTTGCCGTGCAGGGGCAGAAACTCCTCCAGGTGGCTCTCGAAGTTCCAGACGTCCAGTGGGACCTCCACTTCCCCCAGGAACGTGTTTCGGCCAAAGCGATCGTGGTGCCAGACCGAGAACTGCAGCGTCCTTGCAACCAGGAGGGACTTGTTAATCTCGTACTAGGAAGAGAGACAGGAAAACCACTGGTGAGCAGACAGCGCCAGGCAGGGGACAGGCTTGGCATACACCACCAGCCACAGCTCTCAAGCAGGAGAGGAGACAGATTTGAGGAGCAATGGATGCACGCAGGAGACTGTCTTCCTTTCCAAGCCTGCTGAAACCTCAGAGTCCTGGGGTAGTGGTGCAGGAGTCCGTGTTCTCCAGGCAAGTGGTCCTCAGAGCCCATGCAGAGCCAGGACCAGGACTCATGGCATCCGGCCGCCCCACCCCATCCCACCACAAGCAAAGCTCTGCCAGCCCACCGAGCCTCAGGCGGTCAGAGCACGAGACCTCAGCAAACCCGGGGCTGTGGGAGCCGGGAAACCCAACCACAGTTCCCACTTCCTTCCTGTCCGGAGAGCGCCTGGCCTCAGTGGTGTGCTGCCAGGCTCGGGGATGGAGCCAGCCCTTCCCACCACCCCGTGGTGGCCGCAGCAGGGACCGTGAAGGGCAGCGCCCAGTGCTTCTGCCCTGGGGCCCAGAACTGCCTTATCTCTGCCTCTGCAGCCGTGCTGCCTGCCCTCCCGCCACTGTAACCTGCCTGCAATGGCCCAGGAGCCTTCTTTCACAGGAAAGCAACGTCCAGGGGTAAGCAGAAGGCCCCTGGCTCCGGCGGATGCCACAGGAGCCAGGACACACATTCACATCTGCAGCTGTGCCTCCACTCCACCATGGCACCCGGGGCTTGACACCACAGCCACGTCAGAGCAGTGACCCAGCCTGGGAGTGGGTTTTTCCTGCTTTCAGGGTGCAGTGTCTGGACATGGGTCCTCTGCAGAGCCATCGCCTCAAGGTTTGGAGCCCATCTGGCCCCTGGTTTGTTCCGGCAGCATCCCCAGGGCCAAGTGCCTGCCCGGCCCTGCAGCGGGGAGCAGGCTGCTCACCAGCCCATCCCCACTCACCTTCAGCAGCTCATTGTACAGGGGGTTGACGGTGTTGCGTTTGATGGTCGTCTTGCGTTTCCCTTGCCGGGATTTGTCGGGCAGGAGGTAGGTCTTCACGTACCTGAAGGGAGGAGCAGGCAGCATTTCACCAGGGGCTCCCCACAACTAACCCCCACATCTGCCCCCTAGCCCCCCAGGACAACCCCAGACCTCCTGCCTCGCCAAGCCCC